TCTTCTAGAGATCCAAAACGTCCTGCCTACGCTAAGCCAACTGTCTCCATTGCCATACTGGATCATGAAACCTGAAACACTGTAGTTGGTAGGAGTCGAGAACTGACATGCAGGAGGAAAGTAAATCTGTCTCTAACCTCTCTGAACTCGAGCAAAAAGCCTGGACACACTACATGCACAAGTAGCATATGCCTTTCCCAATTTTTAGCTTTCGTCTTCTAAAATATACCATATACTTAAATCAGAACATTCCCCTCTGGAGAGGGAAATGGAGGAAAAAAGAAGGAAAAAGATTTACCTTTCAGGAGGAACGTTATCAGTGTTGCTGCTATGCCGTCTCTGCATTTTCCTCAAAACCTTAAAACACAACACACTCAACATTAACGTTGTGGGTCAACAGTTCCCAGTGTGGCTACTAACAAAGGCCCACAGAGCCGGAGCGCTGTGAAAGCCATTCAGCTAGTGACAAGGCTGGCATAAGTCATTTGCTTCTCGGAAAGAGCACCTCAAGCTTGCTTGTTTCCGAGTTCACTTGCGAAGAAACAGCTTTGAACTGGCAAATGGAAGCACACGTATGCTGGTCTCCAAGCAGGGCAGGAACTAGTCAGATCCCCTCTTGCAGTGTGCGGCCATCACAAGGAGCGTACAGCTCTGTGATGGCATGTTCTGATACAGAACTTGAGGACAACTAACAGAGTGTCTCTCAGTGTGACAAGTGAATCAACATAGGCTCTCTGGAAAGGAAAGCCCTGCTTCCTCTTCTGAAGAAACTTGATTTGTAAAGCAAAACTGAAAGGAAAAAAAGAAAATGTATAAAAAATTGTTATGAAAAAATACAATCAGGTCATAACAATATTCTCTTAAATAAGCAACCCTTTCCTTTTAGGCCATAAAAATGCCATTAGCAAACTCTGCACAATGGTCATCAATAATATGCGCATATGCAAAAGACCACATGATCCTGCTCCACTCATTCCGGAACTGTCAGCATAAAATAAGTAAGGTCTGGAGTGGGAAATGAAAAGACATTGGAATTGTATTAACTTCAGGAACTTTTTCTAGAACAAGAAGAGAAGTTACTTACTTAATTCTTTAAATCTCTGCTTTCAAGCATCTAGTCTTAAAGGAAAAACCTCAAACACATTACATCTTTTTAAAACAAAGTTAATTCAAAAGCAAAGAACACGACAGAATCATCACCACATCATTAAGGCATAGCACAGAGTACCTGGCAACTAATCTTACACTGGTTAATGTTCTATTAGTTACATAAACCTGAGGAAAGGGCTATTTTTGCAAGTGATTTGTCCAGGTTCCCGTAGGCATTTCAAATAAGATTTAGAGAGACATTCTTTAAATATTGAAGTCTGATCTTACTCGGCTCTAGACTACGATAGCTACTGAATAAAATGTAAAAGACTCAAAATACTTGTGAATATCAAAAGTTATAACATTATTTATAACATTTCATATTGCATGAATACATATAAATAAATGTGTAACCCTGTATCTATATTCTGTAACAGCATAGTGGCTCTGAGAACATTTCCTAGCTGTCTATAAGCACAGGTGTGGAAGCTGAGAATTAGAAAATAAGGAATATTTTTTTTTCTACCCTGTACTTTCACCTTTTAATTCATATTCTTTACTTTCAGTGACCCACTAGTCCATGGAAAATTGCATTATATGCAAATTTTATCTCTTACTAAAGACCAAATCGTGCAGTTCACAGTGCATAACCAGACAGTTCTGTTTACCACAAACACCTGCAGTCAAAGTATGCGTAGTTTGCCCAGCGCTGAAGATAAGTTACAAAACAGTGAAAGAAGAAAGGGTATTTCAGGTAAATCACCCAGGTAACTGAATTTGTAAAAGGATGAGAAAAAGATACGTTAACATTTACATAAAAGACTCTTGGCTGGTAACAACCAGTCTTGCAGATCCCCATCAAGTGGGCTGAACTGGGACAACACCAGATTTGAGTCATCACTGACAGAGCACACAGAGGTTTTAATATGAGATGCCAGCTTTGAACATCCTCTTGATGGTTAATATAAATACACACATATCTATGTAAATAAGATTTGGCATAATCATATATGGCAGGAAAACCACAGCTTTTAATATATTTTATGTAGAGGCTGCTGGAAGACACCATGAGTACCAGAAATCTAATTCTAACCAAAATTTTCTGTTACTCTGTTACCAACACTCTCTTAACTACAAATTTTGATCCTGGAACTCCCAGCAGTTTTTTAATCTCTAGCTATACTTTCCAATTTGTGTTGTCTTTCCAGGGCCAAAATTCATTTTATAAGGATGTATAAGTTTTATACAATAAAAAATACATATTAAAGATATTTTTTCCAGATTTTTTAAAGCTGCATTTGTAGTAACAACACTTAGTACTCCAGGAATCCTTCATGCTTTCCAGTAACAGTAAATAAAAAATAGGACAGTAAAAAAAACCCCCAGTAAACGTTATTTAATACTACCCTGACAGTAACTCTGTTGACTTAATATGCAATATTACCCTCTTTTTAACCAAACCAGTAATTAAGATATGATGAAAAGGCCAAGACAGGCTGACCCACGCAGGAAGAGCTGCTGTACCTGCAAAAACAGCTTTGGGGTCACTGCTTGTAAAGAAATCTGTCCATCTTCCCATGCTACAAGCTGAGAGCTAGAGTCAGTGTGGAGATAACTCTGAAACTTGGAAATCCTTCACTCTCTTCTAGACCAGTAGAAGTCTACTACATTGTAATGCAGGGTGAAATCACATTCTAAAATGACACACAGCTCTATGGGGAGACAATTTTTCTTCTGGTATCAGCCATGAAGGGGACAGTGACATGAATGCTAAGTTTTGAAGATGCAGGACTTCATGAGATGTAATAATCTGTTCTGTCCAGAGTCTTACAGATTAAGATCAGATAAAATTTAAATGGACTTTGTTCCAAAAGGCACTCAGATTCAATGCTGATGGGTTCTGCCTTTTCTGGATTAGGGGTTTTCATCTTTCAACACCTGGTCATTTTTTAACAGTACCTGAACAACAGGTTTAACCAGAGGTGCAAGGTGCCACAGTGGGAGAGAGGGAAGCTCAAGAGGGTTCAGACATCTCATACGTGGAGTCCTTCAGATAACCCAAGGCGCTCCAAATTCCAAACTCACCACAGGTCCTTCAAGCTGGATGATTGTGAGGCACCTGGACCACAGTGCTCAAACAGGTGCATCTGTAAGAAGCACACGCACAGAGTCATTTTCACCGCAGCACAGCGAGTTTCACCCCTGGATCGCCTTGGGAGGGACAGAGCGGAGCAGGAACCCTTGGTGCTTCAACCCCGTATTACAGAATCACAGAATCACAGAATGGTGGGGGTTGGCAGGGACCTCTGTGGGTCACCCAGAGCAGGCTGCACAGCACCGCGTCCAGGCGGGGCTGGAATATCTCCAGAGAAGGAGACTCCACAGCCTCCCTGGGCAGCCTGGGCCAGCACTGGAAAGAGTCTGGCCCCGTCCTCCTGACCCCCACCCTGCAGATATTTATAAGGATTTATTAGGTCCCCTCTCAGCCTTCTCTTCTCCAGGCTGAACAAGCCCAGCTCCCTCAGCCTCTCCTCGCAGAAGAGATGCTCCAGTCCCCTCCTCATCCTCTGGACTCTCTCCACGTATTACACACGTCTGCGCGTGTGGAATAAATAAACATAGACATAAATGTATTTATATATACAGGCACATATCTACAGATACAGCTACACACACACATATATCGGTACACGCACACACACATGTGAG